AATACTATATGGAAATTACAGTGATGAAAAAAATTTGTCATTTCTTCTCTTTTCATAACCTATTCTAATGGAAGTGCAAAAATTTTATAAACTGTTCGAATCTAAACATGCTGATAAAGTTAAATTACTTGATGATCTCACCTTGCTATTTCACTCGGTAAAAGACTGGTGTTGCCAACTTCTAAAGCTGATTTGCTCACTTGCAGTATAGAGAGCTATTTGGCTCCTAAGCCACACCTTGGATATTAAATCGAATAAAAAAATTGATGATATAAAAACAAAAGGACTGTTAACAGAGAATGAAGAGAACAACTTAAGAAAACGATGTCAAGATTTCCTTATCTCATTATTCAAGCAACTGAAGCAGAGACTTCCTGAAAATCTAGATGTTTTGAAAAACATTTCATACTTTTCTGTGAGCAACCAACTTCAGCCAGTAAAGGACATACCTAAATATTGTAAAGTTATGAAATTTTTAGGGGCTACTGATAATAGTGTCGCGGAAGCAGAATATCAGTTAACCAAAATAAAGTTAGCTGAATGGACAAACAAAACAGAAACTAAAGCGTTTTGGAGTAAAGTGAGACAATTTAAAGATGCCTCATCAAACAGTCCATTCTGTAAGCTCTTTAAAGTGCCATGTCTGCCATGATACTACCCCACTCAAATGCTGCCGTAGAAAGAGTTTTCAGTGCTAGGAATTTTATCAAATCTAACCTAAAATACAGGATAAAATTTGACCACTTAAATGCTATCGTGCCATTAAAATTCGCCCTGATTAGACAAAAAAAAATAAGCTTACTGTTCCACTTGAAATTTGAACAGCTAAAGCATACCAGGGTCATTTTGGATCTGAAGCTTCAACTTCATTATCCAAGCTAAGTTTATCCGGTGGATCTTGTGAGGCAGACATCAGTGAAGGTGAGACATGATTATGTAGGGTAAGTCATAACAAAAGCTATGTAATTTTTGACTTTTTCAATTTGGATGTTTTTCTAGATCTTTTCCACACATATTTAGATCTTTTAAGATATTTTTTGACACCGTTTTGGATATTTTTTGTCAAAGAAAAGTGGCAACACTGCACATCGCGTCTAAATCTGGGATAAGCGTTTACTGCAGTTAACATGGAGGGTACCCACTGAGGCATGAAACTTGGTAGTGAACCCACGTGGAACAACTTTAAATTTTAAACAGTTTCTGAAAAAAATTAAGATGGAAGCAGTTCTAGTGTTACTGTAAATGGCAAAGGCTAGTTCAGTTGCTGTGGATTTGAGATCAGTGGGTGGCAAACTGAAGCAGAAAGTTATGTAAAACCTCAGTTGGCGGAATAACTGACTAGGGTGATTGGGAGACATGGGAGAGGTGGAGAGGAGCAGATTCGAAAAACGAATAGACAGTAAATAGATGAGAATAGGCAGAAAGTTGAAGAGCACGATGTGTGCCGGCTGGACATGGTAGAGAAAAAGGCAAACGGGTGGCTGGGAGAGAAAGCTGGCGATAATGTACAAAAAAGAATCAAAAAGATAAATAATAAAAATATTGAATAATAAAGTGTGTTAAAAGTATATTTAAAAAAAGTAAATATACTGTCTCCGGTAGAAACTGTCATGTGAGGAAAGAAACTATCCCAGGTAGAAAATGCCACGTGAGGAAAGAAACTATCCCAGGTAGAAAATGCCATGTGAGGAAAGAAACTGTCTCAGGTGGAAAATGCCATGTGAGGACAGAAACTATCTCAGGTAGAAAATGCTATGTGAGGAAAGAAACTATCCCAGGTAGAAAATGCCATGTGAGGAAAGAAACTATCTCAGGTAGAAAATGCCATGTGAGGAAAGAAACTGTCTCAGGTAGAAAATGCCATGTGAGGAAAGAAACTGTATCAGGTAGAAAATGCCATGTGAGGAAAGAAACTGTCTCAGGTAGAAAATGCCATGTGAGGAAAGAAACTGTCTCAGGTAGAAAATGCCATGTGAGGAAAGAAACTGTCTCAGGTAGAAAATGCCATGTGAGGACAGAAACTATATCAGGTAGAAAATGCCATGTGAGGAAAGAAACTATCCCAGGTAGAAAATGCCATGTGAGGAAAGAAACTGTCTCAGGTAGAAAATGACATGTGAGGACAGAAGCTGTCTCAGGTAGAAAATGCCATGTGAGGAAAGAAACTGTCTCAGGTAGAAAATGACATGTGAGGAAAGAAACTGTCTCAGGTAGAAAATGCCATGTGAGGAAAGAAACTGTCTCAGGTAGAAAATGCCATGTGAGGAAAGAAAATGTCTCAGGTAGAAAATGACATGTGAGGAAAGAAACTGTCTCAGGTAGAAAATGCCATGTGAGGAAAGAAACTGTCTCAGGTAGAAAATGACATGTGAGGACAGAAGCTGTATCAGGTGGAAAATGCCATGTGAGGACAGAAGCTGTCTCAGGTGGAAAATGCCATGTGAGGAAAGAAACTGTCTCAGGTGGAAAATGCCATGTGAGGAAAGAAACTGTCTCAGGTGGAAAATGACATGTGAGGAAAGAAACTATCCCAGGTAGAAAATGAAATGTGAGGAAAGAAACTGTCTCAGGTAGAAAATGCCATGTGAGGAAAGAAACTATCCCAGGTAGAAAATGACATGTGAGGACAGAAACTATCCCAGGTAGAAAATGCCATGTGAGGAAAGAAACTATCCCAGGTAGAAAATGACATGTAAGGACAGAAACTATCCCAGGTAGAAAATGCCATGTGAGGAAAGAAACTGTCTCAGGTAGAAAATGCCATGTGAGGACAGAAACTATCCCAGGTAGAAAATGCCATGTGAGGAAAGAAACTATCCCAGGTAGAAAATGCCATGTGAGGAAAGAAACTGTCTCAGGTAGAAAATGACATGTGAGGACAGAAGCTGTCTCAGGTAGAAAATGCCATGTGAGGAAAGAAACTGTCTCAGGTAGAAAATGACATGTGAGGAAAGAAACTGTCTCAGGTAGAAAATGCCATGTGAGGAAAGAAACTGTCTCAGGTAGAAAATGCCATGTGAGGAAAGAAAATGTCTCAGGTAGAAAATGACATGTGAGGAAAGAAACTGTCTCAGGTAGAAAATGCCATGTGAGGAAAGAAACTGTCTCAGGTAGAAAATGACATGTGAGGACAGAAGCTGTATCAGGTGGAAAATGCCATGTGAGGACAGAAGCTGTCTCAGGTGGAAAATGCCATGTGAGGAAAGAAACTGTCTCAGGTGGAAAATGCCATGTGAGGAAAGAAACTGTCTCAGGTGGAAAATGACATGTGAGGAAAGAAACTATCCCAGGTAGAAAATGAAATGTGAGGAAAGAAACTGTCTCAGGTAGAAAATGCCATGTGAGGAAAGAAACTATCCCAGGTAGAAAATGACATGTGAGGACAGAAACTATCCCAGGTAGAAAATGCCATGTGAGGAAAGAAACTATCCCAGGTAGAAAATGCCATGTGAGGAAAGAAACTATCCCAGGTAGAAAATGCCATGTGAGGAAAGAAACTATCCCAGGTAGAAAATGCCATGTGAGGACAGAAACTGTCTCAGGTAGAAAATGCCATGTGAGGAAAGAAACTGTCTCAGGTAGAAAATGCCATGTGAGGACAGAAGCTGTCTCAGGTGGAAAATGCCATGTGAGGAAAGAAACTGTCTCAGGTAGAAAATGCCATGTGAGGACAGAAGCTGTCTCAGGTGGAAAATGCCATGTGATGAGAAACTATATCAGGTGGAAAATGCCATGTGATGAGAAACTATATCAGGTGGAAAATGCCATGTGATGAGAAACTATATCAGGTGGAAAATGTCATGTGATGACAGAAACTATCTCAGATAGAAAATGCCATGTGAGGACAGAAGCTGTCTCAGGTGGAAAATGCCATGTAAGGACAGAAACTATCTCAGGTAAAATAATGTCATGTAATGAGAGAAACTCAGGTAGAAAAGGCCATGTGATTAGAGAAACTATATTAGGTTGAAGATGCCATGTGAGGACAGAAACTGCGTCAGGTAAAAGATGTCATGTGATGATTGACATGTACACCGCACACTTGCCAAGTATCTAGGGTTACTCAATAGTGTCACACTTACAAGTCACCACTCCCGCTCAAGAGTAATAGATGACGCCTGATACATGTTAACTGTCAAAATCTATTCACTGTATTTTGACATTAGGACCATGAATGGCATCACAAAATACTAACTGCATCCTGCTACTATCATTCTCACTACCAATGCACACACATTTAGGATGCTCTCAAACACTTTTACTGCCACACTATGCTCTGTGGTTGCTACAGGTAATCATTGCCCGCTCATGATTACATGACTGCCTCTCCGACACCTATCACTTGGCTTTACAGTCGCTATAGAGATCACACAGGCCAATAACAATACTGAGGAAATTATCCAGACACTCCGTCTGCGGCCTACCTTGAGATCTCCTGATCTCGCCTCACGAACTTCTGCCACGTTAGATGGGGCTACTGCAGCAACTCCCGCAAATAACCTAGACACCAGCGTAACAAATAGCTGTGCAGGTTGAGTCTGGCAACACCAATACTAGAACATACCTTTAAGCATGTTACCCAAGTTCCCTTATTCTATGCTACAGCTGCATCAGTTATCAGGAGCTCTGACGATGCATCCTTCCACTTCAAGGTCGTAGAGGCAACTGCTCTTTTCTCTTCGTGAAGCTGACTCCTCGTCTCACTTTGTGGGGTGAACTGTCTCTGATAACACACAATTTACCATCTCTATATGTGAGTTTTCTTGTGCGACCATGGTTCACATTTATTCATGAATTTCTCCATGATTTCCTTCCTTGCATGGTTATACAGATCCTTGACCCTGGGTCCCTGACAAATTGGTCTGTATTCAATTTACATATTACTCCCTTAAGAATGAATCTAAACTTCAAGGGCTAACAATGTTGTAATACATGGACTATTTCACCAAGGGACATAACCCTCTCATATATCCGTATCTTGCTAACAACAGTCATAGAAACTATGCTAGAAACATGTTTACTGGTGTTGTGTGTGGATGAAGCAGCTTCTCATGGCAAACCTGGTACACTTGCAGTAACTCGTCAACTCTTGGCCTCGACTGCTGCAAAATATCAACCAAACAAATACTGCATCAGTTTACTCATATGTTTGGTTTCAATCATCAGTAAGGTATTTTATAAATATATCAGGATAATAAACTTGTATGACCACACAAATACATCACCAGGAGCCCTAGCTGAAGTCAACAATGAAGTTGTGCCTGGTGCAATATATGTTTACTTTTTGCAAGTTGAATGAAACGTGGTACTGGCAAGGAATTGTTTTGGTTAAGTGCCATGTTGACAGACTGTTGGGAGATTCTAGAAGGCTGGATGGCACTGCAACAGTTTTGAATGAAAACATGTAATGGCCGGTACCACAGAGAATAAAAGCATGCAGTAACAAAAACATGTCTGAATGATCATCTAAAGGCAGCTGAACAGTTCGAGAATTTTATGTTACAGCCATAGGCATCGAAACAAGACAGACAGCAGTGGATATATAAAATTGATACATTTATAAGAGGAAAATAAATGAATTTAAATCTTGAAGGATGGATTCCAAAAGTATTTGTACAAATATTTAGTGATGAGTTGCATAACAGATGGGTACTCACTGATGAAAGATGACACACTGTGTATTTATTAGCACTGACATAAAAAGAGTTATTTCTGATGTTTATGTTGTATTTGTATGTGATGTAGTGATTTTTGCACAGGATTCGCAACTCTAAAATGAAGTTGTAAGAATGGAATTAATTTGATGCTTATGGAGAACAGAGAAAATTAATAGTAGATGCTTCCCATGTGGGTTCTCAGACCGTGTTTTAGGAAAAACAAGAATAGACCCACTGCCTACCCAAAAGCATGTTGTAAGAGTCGACTAATTGGGAGCTTCCTTCGAAGTTGGAGTGCATTTGCCTGATAGGCAAGGAACCAAAAGTCTGCATACAAATTAGATCTGTCAAACAGATACACATGCAACACTCAGGTTCTGGAACAGGACTCCAGAAGTAAACGAATGACCAGAACTTTCCGCCAGAGTTTACAGCTGGTGAACGCGAAGAAGAAGAAGAAGTAGATCATTTGATGAATAACATGATGAAGCATAAAGTGTTAAGATTATGCTAATGGCAATGAGAATTTTTGTGTAACAAGGAGTGTTACTTTAGAGATTGGTTACTGGGGACTGCAACCATTTGACACTGTAATTTATGATGTGAGATCTAGATGTAAAATTTAATTATGCTGATGTATAATTGTGCATGGTTTATGTAGAGTGTAAGACAAATTAGTGAGATGAAGGCTTACATTCGTATGTAACCCTTCAGTAAGAGGGAAAGGATTGTAACAGGGAGATTTCACTATATATGTTGGATGGACTGAGAATCAACAAGGCTTAGAAACCTTGACATTCCCTTTCTAGAACCTTCACATGTTTATAGCAGAGAGATAATTTGCAAATGAAAAATCTATAGTGTCTGACGTAATTTTTGTTGACGTGTCCTTTGACGTGCCCTTTCAAAGAAAATGCAGTAGTATTCACTTTCTAGAAGAGCCCAAAAGGCCAACTGTCATTTAATTGGTGTATTTTGGTGTAGAGTTATCTGATTCAATAGAGATGTCATTAGAAAGTCCCACCTGGAGTACATACATAGTATGCACACAAGAATCTTACAGAAGCAGTAGTAAGTAGAAAACACATACCAAGCATTCCAGCATCTCAGTACAAATAGTGGGTAAGAAACCACTTGAGCATTCTTCAGTCTACAGGACCCAGAAGAGGAGGCACTAGTAATATAGACCACGTGTATGTTTCAGTATGAATTGGTCTGTGTGTGTTTAAGTGTCTCTTTGTTGTGTATGTGTGTCTGCGTGTGTGTGTGCGCGATTGGATACATGTGGCTGTGTATATGTGACTGTGTATATGTGTCTGTGGTGTGACACTGTGTTTGTCTGCATGTGTGTGTGTCTCGGTGTTTGTCTGCATATTTGATGTGACTGTGTGTATATCTTCGTGTGTGTCCCCGTATGTGTTTGTCTGCATGTTTGCCAGTGTATGTTTATGTGTTTGTCTGCGGGTGTGTTTATGAGGCTGTATGTATGTATCTCCGTGTGTGGGTGTCTGTATGTCTGGGTGTCTGTATGTCTGCGTGAGTGTATGTGTCAGCATGTCTATGTGTGTTCCTCTGTGTGTATTTGTGTGCCCCTTTGTTGTGTGTATGTGACTGCATGTCAGAGTATATGTCTGTGCGTGCTGTATATATGTGTCTGTGTGTGTATTTCTATGTGTTTGTCTGTGTGGGTGTCAGTATGTGTTTGTCTGCCTGTCTGTCTGTATTTGTGTGTGTGTGTGTGTGTTTGACTGCGTGTGTGTCTATGTGGCTGTATGTATGTGTCTGCATGTGTGTGTGTGTGTGGGTGTGTCTGTGGTGTTTGTCTGTGTATTTCTGCGTGTTTGTCTGTGTGGGTGTCAGTATGTGTTTGTCTGCCTGTCTGTCTGTATTTGTGTGTGTGTGTGTTTGACTGCGTGTGTGTCTATGTGGCTGTATGTATGTGTCTGCATGTGTGTGTGGGTGTGTGTGTGTCAGTGTGTAAGCACGAATATATATATATATGTCTGCTGTGTGTTTCCCTGTGTGTGTTTATATGTAAGTGTCTGTGTGTGTGTCTGTATTTTTTGTCTAAGTGAGTGTGTGTGTTTCAGTGGAAGTGTCCGTGTGTGCATGTGTGTGTCTCCATGCATGACTATGTATGCCTGTATTTATGACTGTATGTTTGTATGTATGTATATGTTTGTATGTGTGTATGCCTGTATTATGTATTTATGCCTGTATGTTTGTATCTATGTATGTATGTTTGTATGTGTGTATGCCTGTATTATGTATTTATGCCTGTATGTTTGTATCTATGTATGTATGTTTGTGTGTGTGTATGTATGTATGTGTGTATGCCTGTATGTATGTTTGTATGTATGTAATGTATGCATGTATGAATGTGTGTGTAAGTGAGTGGGTGAGCGTGTGTATGTGGGTGTATGTATGTATATGGGTGTGTGGGTTTTTTGCATGCACTTTACAAGTCATGCTTTTGTGTTCTTTTATAATATTCCTAATATGCATATCATCATATGATCATAACATGCTTTATTAGTAAAATACAATTGCTGTGCGAAAGATGGTTGACTGGAAGGGCCGAATGTAGGACGGGCCTGCATGCCCAATTTGTGACCCTTTGAAAATAAAGTTTGTTCGACCCTCAAAGACGAGATTCTTCCATCTATGAGACTTAGAAGAAGAGGGACTAGTCACATGAAACCTCGCAGATGAAAACCTTCAGTTGTAGAGATGCCAACTCAACATCTGAAGGAAAGAAATCTTTCACATGGAGCCTCAAAGACAGTCACAAGAGAACATCTAAAGGAAAGAAATCATTCACATGGAGGCTCAAAGACAGTCACAAGAGAAAAGACATGAACTCGAACTACAGAGACAGCAGACAAGACACATGGATCCACAGAGATGCATTAGTTAGAAACATTATTAAGATGTTAGAGTTGACAATCAAACTGTTAGTACCAGCCAGCACTTAAAGCCAGGTGGCAGTTACAGACACTAGAAACAGTTAACAAAGTAACTAGAGATGAAGAAAACAATGCGACCTCAAGAGTATGTAACCATAGAGCAAAAACAGTGGCTATTCAGAATATCATTAATAAATACATTACTGAGGTTAACAAATTAAGACAATACAGAAAAGAATAGTTGTTTAAAGACATTTTGTTATACAAGCATCGGAGTGACTTGAGAAGCATGCAGTAAGCACGAGAGAACAACAGCACTATTGACATGACCATCTTTCTCCTCGACTGTATTCTTCAATTGACTCCTCCTGTAGCAAACTAAAAACAAACCTGGGTGTGAAATCAATATTTACAAAGAAGAGAGCAGTGCTAAAAACAGCCAGCTGGTTGGAATCTGATAAATAGAAAATAATACTGCTTCATTAGTTAAAAACCGCACAATAGCGATCTAAATAATAGTTACAGGGATCAGTAATATTTTTTATTGTTTTAGGACCTACAGCAGAGGGTGGCATAGAAGATTTTTGATCTGTATTGTTATTTTTATTTGTACTTTTTTTCTTTAAAGTAATTATTAAAGGATGATTAGGAACAGGAAACAGAAAGGAAATGCAAAAGTTTAATTTTGTAACAGGCAAAATATTGACAAGTTCAAGGGTTTAAAAAAATATTAGTTGTTTGTTAAGGTAGGCATACACAGTGAGATCACATGAACTTCTTGTAGTCTCAAACTGAGAGAATACATCAGAAAAATAACACTTTCTAAAAGGAAGGAAAATGTGTCTGGCCGGCCACTGTTTTGTTTGGCATTTCGTCTGCTCTGATGGCTAGCTGCGATAACTGACGTCTTACTCTGATGACTAGCTGCGAAAACTGACGTCTTACTCTGATGACTAGCTATGATAACTGACGTCTTACTCTGATGACTAGCTGCGATAACTGACGTCTTACTCTGATGACTAGCTGCGATAACTGACGTCTTACTCTGATGACTAGCTGCGATAACTGACGTCTTGCTCTGATGACTAGCTGCGATAACTGACGTCTTACTCTGATGACTAGCTGCGATAACTGACGTCTCTGATGACTAGCTACTGACTAGCCAGCGATAATGACGTCTTACTCTGATTACTAGCTGCGATAACTGACGTCTGCTCTGATGACTATGATAACTGACGTCTTACTCTGATGACTAGCTATGATAACTGACGTCTTGCTCTGATGACTAGCTGCGATAACTGACATCTTACTCTGATGACTAGCGGCGATAACTGACATCTTCTTGATGACTCTGATGACTTAGCTGCATCTTGCTCTGATGATAACTGACATCTTACTCTGATGACTAGCGGTGATAACTGACATCTTACTCTGATGACTAGCTGCGATAACTGACGTCTTACTCTGATGACTAGCTGCGATAACTGACGTCTTACTCTGATGACTAGCTGCGATAACTGACGTCTTGCTCTGATGACT